ATGTCTACCTAAGGGAATATCCCTCCATGGGGAATGTGCTACCAAAGTCCTTTCATGTACCAGGGATACATACAGGTTCCACAGTCAGAGGTCCCATAAACTGCCCAAGCCTTCTAACTTAGACCCACATTCAGGGGTTCAGTATCAGTCCTATGCTGGTTTCCCAGCTATCAGTCTGGGGTCCATGAGCTTCGGCTTGTTTAGGTCAGCAGTTTCTGTGTGCTTCTCCAGCCTGGTCTGGACCACTTTGCTCATCATTCCTCACTTTCTGCAACTGGATTACAGGAGTTCCACTCAGTGTTTAGCTGTGGAAGCCGCTTCTGCTTCCAATAGCTACTGGATGAAGGCTCTAGTATTATATATAAGGTAGTTATCAATCTCATTATCAGGAAAGGGCATTTAAGGTAGCCTCTCCACTATTGCTTAGATTGTTAGTTGGGATCATCATTGTACGTCTCTGCATATTTCCCTAGTGCCACATTTCTCTTTAAACCTATAGTAGCTTCCTCTATTATGACATCTATTTTCTTGCTCTCCTCTGTCAGGGGAACAACAGAGGAGAGCATTCAGCTAACTCTTAACCTCATCATTTTTACTCTTTAGCTTTTTCAATGTTTTATGTTAGTGGCATCAAAGTACTTGTTAATAAAAAGACAAAAATCAAAGTGTTTGACCAACTTTATATGCTCTGGGTACTTATTAGTTATTATCCCTCTGAAGACTTTGTCATAAACAAACAGTAAAACATTTCTAACTATCCCTATCACCTCTTTTGATACATATATCTTAGAAAGCCATTTAAGCACATCAACAAACAAGCAATCATTGTGTGTGTGTGTGTGTGTGTGTGTGTGTGTGTGTGTGTGTATGCTATGGTCTGGTGAATTCCGTGGTAAGGAGGCCAGGGTGACAGTGATCCTTACAAATTTTCTGGTTGATATGTATGATATGTAGATGGATCTTTGTGTTCCTTGGTAAATTTATTGCAACCTAGCTGAGGCATCGAGTGACTCCACAGATAAAGAGTGGCCTATGGGTCTCAGACCTGACTCTGGATCAACTGGCTGGGTCCTTGTTAACAACTTTGTTCTTGCTGATACCTTGAAACACAGTGAAAAAAATTATCTGTGTTAATTAAGATGATACTTTATGCATTAGGGAAGGTCAAAGAGACTTTAATGTACTTAAAGAAAATCACCATCTCATCATGTAAACCAGATGATGACAGAGATTTTCTAAAATCAGGCCCTCCTTGATTACTCTTGGGAACTTAATTGATGAATAAACACCTCATTATACCTGTATGTGTTATGAGGAGTTATATTTATAATGGAGACCATGCAAATCAGAAATCAACTCCAGAATCTGTTAGGTTGCCTATGATCTGTGTGAGAAGTCATTATAGTTTCAAATAACTCAAGATTAGTTACAGAGTATGACACTGCAGTGTTCTATTCTCTTTGGAGTCAAATTCTGGTATCTCCAATGTCTATTTCTGACTTATGCAACTACATTCCATAGAAGCACATAGTAAATTACTTCCATACCATTATTCATGTATATTCAATATATGTAATGTCAGATATTAACAGCAAATATATAATATATATTAATTTCAACATTCCATCTGCTACTATTTTTTCCAACAACCACACTGTTCTTTTGTGATATTATGTATTAAGTATTTTATGTCTTTATGTCTCTATGCACATATCCGAAACCACGAATGAAAGAGATCCACCTAAAATAATTCCCTCAATATTTGTCATTCTTAAAGTCTGCAGTTGTATCAAAAAAGCAAACACAGGATAGATAAAACTATCTTGAGTAAAACAATACTAATTATTGTCCAGAGACCTACAAGAATGACCTCAACTAACAATTTGAGCATAGTGGAGAGGCTACCTTATATGACCTTCCCTGAAAATGAGATTGATGACTACCTTACATGCCATCCAAGAGCTTTCATTAAGTAACTGATGGAAGCAGAAGCAGAACCCACAGTTAACACTGAGCCAAAGTCCCAGAATCCAGTTGCAGAGAGGGGGAAGTGATAAGAAAATGGGATCAAGACCAGGCAACAAAAACCCACATAGAGAGCTGACCTGAAAAAAGGGAGCTCATCGACCCCCTGACTGGTAGCTAGGAAACCAACATTGGACCGACTCAGAACCCCTGAACATGGGTTCACTTAGAAGGCCTAGGCAGTCTAAGGGACCTCTGACAGTGGAACCAGGATGTATCCCTGTTGCAGAAAAGAAGTTTGGGAGCACATCCACCATGGAGGGATAGTTCTTTAACCAAGAGGCAGGAGGGATGGCCTAGGCCCTACTCCAAATGACTTGACAGAATTTGAGATCCCTCCTGGAAGGCATCACCCTCCCTGTGAAGTAGGGGGGATTGAGATGGGAGGGGGTTTGGGGGACATGGGAAGGAGGGAAAGAGGAAGAGAAAACTGGGATCGATATGTAAAATAAGAAAAAATTATATATATATATATATATATATATATGTATATATAATTGCTTGATGTCCCATAATTTTTTTTTTACAAGTTGTACTGTAGACTATAGTGACGAAGAAATAGGAAAAACATCCTAGCCTTAGAAATTATACAATGGAATTACAGGAAGTTGTGCTATTATTGAGTATCACACATAATTAATTTTCCTAAGTTTAGATCTCCTTTATTTTAACTGAAATATGTATATCAGTGTCACCTGTTAGTTTTGCTTCTACTACTGAAATTAGGAAATATCCCAAGACCTCTGGTTGGTAATTACTAGTTTTCTGTGTAACAAGTGAATTTCAGGTCATTGTCAAGATCCATGAAATTTGAACAAGGTTGTGCCATCAATTGTTCGGACAGTTTAAATTTCAGATTTTAACAGTGACTAATGGTAAATGAATACCAGGGAATTTATGTACTATTGATGAACAATGCTTTGTCTCTATTGAAATAAGCATTCCCTATTTGAATTTTCATACCTTGCTTTCCACAATAGTTTTTGCCACATCTGTCATTACTGGATAGTGAAATAATTGTCTTAGATTTATTATTTTCAATTTCAGAATATCCTTTTCTTTCTGTCTTTTTAGTGCTAGGACTGAAACGATGCACTAACAAGCCTGCCGTACAAATCTAGATTATTAAGTTTTTAGAGATTTGTTAAACATCTACAACATAATGTATTTTGCTTAAACCAAATTGATTTGCTACTTATGTACTAAGGTATATTGATAGGACTAACACAATATTATATACCATCATTGTTTTGTTCATTTGCAAATATTGCCTTATTTTCAGGTTATATGTTATGGTTGTTTGCTTAGTGTTTCTGTAGAACTCCTTACAATGGGAGCAGTTGTATCACTGATTCTTATCTACTCTCTGGATTCTCCTCTCCTATTAGGTTGCCTTATCCAACTTGATGTGAGGGTTTTTGCCTTGTCTTAAGAGTCTTGCTTGGACCTGTTTGGCTTTTGTCACTTGGAAGCCTACTCTTTTCTGAAGTGGAAAAGAGGGAGTGCATGTGGGGCAGGAGGGACGCTGTGTTTGGGACATGGTACATGAGAGAAGAATGTATTCGCAATAAAAATAAAAATTAAGAAGCAAACAAACAAACTAAACAAAACAAGAGACAGGTTCTGGAGAGATGACTCAGCAGTTAAGAGCACTGACTGCTTTTACAGAGGACCCAAGCTTAATGCCCAGTATCCACATAGCATACCTGTCTGTAACTCGACGACCTGACACCCTCACACAGATATACTTGTAGGCAAAGCACCAATGCAAATAAATAAATTATTAAAAAAAATAGAAACAAAAATGCTCACTCTGTTTTCCTAGTGTTACTATCATGCATCAGCATAGTACATTTGTCACAGGATGGATACATCCTGATTATTTAAGTTTAATAATTATCATTAAGGTTTGTTCTTTGTATTGTACTGTTTCTTGTTATCTAAACAAACACTTCTATGATTTATTCACATGCTTTAATAGATAAATTAAAATGAGTTTGTTTAGAGAGTATATATATATATATATATTTAAATAGTATGAAAATATGAATTTTACTATCTTCCTGATATCAGTCCCAACATCTATTAATTTTCTACTTATAGTTTTCAAGTATGTAGTAGTACATCATTATCATCTATATTTCCAGTATTATATAAAAGGTCCTTGAGATTATTCTTTCAACCTCACTGAAATTCTACATATTTGGGGAATATTTCCCGAGTAACCATCTCCAATCTCTAGTGACCAAGATTTTTCTGTTTTTCAGCTCATCATTTCACTTATTACACAACACCTAAGTTTATAAGTTGCTTGTCTTTATTCTCTGTTTAGTTTATAATGTATTTTAGGATCAACTTTGTAATCATAAATGACAGAAAATATTTTAAAGTCTTTATTAGTATTTCATTGTACACAAAGAGACATACACATAATTTCCTTTTTTTATTTTTTATATTAACTTTTATTCATAATTTGCCCATATCTGATGGACAAAAATTGTATCTAACCCAAATGCATTTCAGAAGATGATCTGGAAAAGAAAAATGGGTCTCTAAGGGACCTCGGACAGTGAACCAGGATGTATTCCTGATGCACAAAAGGACTTTGGGGGCACATCCCCCATTGGGGGATACTCCTTTTACCTAGAGATGGGAGAGAAGTCCTGTCCCTACTCCAAATGACTTGACAGATTTAGATAACCCCTCCTGGAGGGCATCACCCTACATGTGGAGTGGGGGGTGGATCGGAGGGGAGGGTGTTTGGTGGGGGGGCATGACAGGGTGGGAGACAGGGAAAGAGAGAGGGAGGGAGGGAGGGGGAGCTGCTTTTGTTACAAACATTACTGTAAGAGCATCTCAAGCAGAGGTCGTTACAACCATGATTTGGAAAAGGATGAAGCATTTATTCCAGTAGGAGAATCTTTGAAAGACCTGATTGACCAGTCACAAAGCTCTGGTAGCAGATCTAGACTACCTTTATTGGTTCACTGAACTATTGCCAAACAGATTCTGATGGTTCAGAAGGTTGGTAAAGGCCGTTATGGAGAAGTGTGGATGGGTAAATGGCGTGGCGAAAAAGTGGCAGTCCAAGTGTTTTTCACCACAGAAGAAGCTAGTTGGTTTAGAGAAACAGAAAATATACTTGCGTTTATAGCTGCAGACATTAAAGGCACTGGCTCTTGGACTCAGTTGTATTTGATTACTGATTACCATGAACATGATTCTCTCTATGACTTCCTGAAATGTGCCACACTGGACACCAGAGCCCTACTCAAATTAGCTTATTCTGCTGCCTGTGGTCTGTGCCACCTCCACATGGAAATTTATGGCACCCAAGGAAAGCCTGCAATCGCTCATAGAGACCTGAAGAGCAAAAACATTCTTACTAAGAAAAATGGGAGTTGCTGTATTGCTGACCTGGGCCTGGCTGTTAAATTCAACAGTGATACGAATGAAGTTGACATACCCTTGAATACCAGGGTGGGCACCAAGCGCTCCATGGCTCCATGGTGGATGTGCTCCCAAAGTTCTTTCCTGCAAATGCAACAGGTATACAAAATTATGTGTACCTGTTTGTATGCCCATCAGATATGGTTAATAATACAATGAAAATGGGAGGGCATGAATGTCTTTCCAGTGATTAAATTTCTTTCCGATACATGGATAGATGATGATGTAATTCAGTTTTGAAGAAAATACTTTCCTTAATTATTTGATAATTTTATACAATGTATTTAGTGTTATTAATTCCCAACCCCAAACTCCCCTCAGATACAAAGCTCGTTTCTTACCCAACTTTGTGTCTTTTTAAATCAAATCTTCAGTCTAATGTTGGTTTCCCATATACTCTTAGGTGTCAGCATACTAAACCTACAAGGGATCAAAACTTAAAAAAAAAATGCACTTGGGAGGCAGCCTGGTCTACAAAGTGAGTTTCAGGACAATTAGGGCAGTAACACAGAGAAATGCTGTCTCAAAAACAAAGCAAAAGAAAACTTAAAGAAAACTAATTCTTGAACCCAACAGATATCAATTGTCGATGGCTCCCCAGCTAGAATTTGGACTCTATTGACATCATCCTGTCTCCACTCTCGGTTTTTGTCTGGACTGAATTTTCACAGGTTTTGTTCATATTATCACAAAAACTGTGAGTTCATTTGTACAGATGACATATTAGGTCAGAAAAACACTCATTCTTCATAGTTTCAACTACAACTGTTTCTTCCAGTTCTTTTTTTTTTTTTTTTTTTTTTTTTTGTGGCTAAGTATTGCTTCCAATATTCTTTGCAGGGCTGATCTAGGGGGCATGCACTGTTGGCTTGTTTATGTCCTAGAAATTCTACCGCGAATGCTTAAAATAACAAAATGCAAATAAAACCATTTTATCCTGAAATTACCAGTGTTTTACTGACCTCATAATTCATAAAGCTATGATAAGAATTTATTAAATGTACAAACTAATGTGAAGAGAATACACAGTCAAATCATTAATATGGGGCAGAGTGAAATGTTTACTAGAAGCTGAGCTTCAAATAAGAAGTTTTTAAATATTACAGAGTGTAGTATGTGTACTACATATAGGTGCTATTGAAAATGTTCTTATTTGCCTATTAATTTCAAATATATTTATTTACATGCCTACATTATTGTGTACTAAATAGAATTTAAAGTTCTGAAATAATAAGATACATAGCAGGACTGCCGTATTTCAAATTTCACAGAAGTCCCTTGGCACTTGGACATCTATGACATAAAGCACTCTCCTCCTTTTGGCATAAACTAACAACATAAGATTCCCAGAAATGGAATGCTCAACACTTATATTCATGAGCATAAAATGAATACATTTAGTAAAAGTTAATTTCTTTTGCATACTCCCCAAACTGATTTTAGTGGAATTTTTCCTCTCAAATGTGTTGACACAAGGAAAAAATAATCTTATGTTTACATCCCAGATGATTCAATGAAGAGAAAAAAATGTTTCTCATGAGCACATTTATTTTCAATTGGAAGACATAAAGATTCCATTTGTTATATTGTGCTACAAAATTAATATAACATGAATTTTAATAGCAGAAAAAAATAGATGAGTGAAGTTACAAGCCCACAAAGAAAATTGTGTTGACAGATTAATACAAAAGTATCATATGTTCTGTTTGATAAATGTGCTCTGAAACAATATTTTAGAATAGATCTGATTTCTAGTCTATGCTTGTTTCAAAAAGTGATAATGAAATACCATACTCAATGTTGGTGGGTAAATGGCAAATGTGAAAGATCTGCTGGAGGAAAATCATGTGAGAAGACATAGAATTTTTCTATACATAGAGGCATGTGTGTGAAATTGAGTGTTACTTAAACACAAGTAACTCTACAATCTATTCATCCATCTGTTTCCTTGGAGGGAATAAGGACACATGCAAATGTGTTTATATTTACATTTCCTTCAAGGCTGTGGGATTTAGTTCCAATAAATATCAGCTGCCACTGAACTTTTGGAACAGGAACTGGGTTACGAATAGAAATAGAAGATAAGACAGACTTCTAGGCAAAAGGAAAGATTATTTTCTTGCTTAAAGTTTGAAAGATTAAAGTAGTAAATATCAATAATATCTTATTAATTTATGTAGTCCAATTGTTAGTTTCATGGTATTGTACCAATTACTCAGCATGAAAATACCCCAATTAAATATTTACAAAATTATATAACAGATAATTACAAAATAAACAACATATGTTCTATGGTAGTAAGTTCAACAATAAAGAAGTAGTCTTGCTAAGAATATAATCAGGATTTCATATGATCTGAGCTAGTATTGACAGCTTCTCAGTGCCAGAGATTTGTAAAACAGGTTCAGAAAGAATAAAGATAGTACCAGTGAACAACCATAGAGAACGGTGGCATGCATATTATAGCAATGTTCTTGAGGACTTAGGTGTGTGTTACAAAAGTACAGTAGTGAAATTCACAATAACTCTTGGGATTAGATAACAATATAGCAACTCAAAAGAAAATATTTCACAAAGAAACCAGTAAATTTTAGCGCCTAAAGGCATATCAGATTATGCAGGACATTTCCTCTGGTTGAAACACTTTGTCTTCATCCAGGATACACACAAAAGCAGTCTTTCAAGTATATATTCATGTGAATCTCTTTTCTTCCTTTCCAAAGATGATATTCATATGAAAATTCATAGGTGTGTATGTGTATAACAAGCATATAAAACATTCTAAGTTAATATAAGATATTTAATACACAAACATAATAGCTTATGTGGTATTCACTATAGTTGTGATATTTATATAAAATTATATTTATTATGATGAGAAAAAAAATCATAGTGGCAGGGAGTACAAGATGGAATGAGATGGTTTTGAAAGTGAGGATATTACAGATAAAATATTCAGGAAATGAACATCCTATTGTATATTGAACAATAGCAGCCCAGTGATGAGTAACTGAGTGCAGATGTAAAGAAGACAGCATGTTTACAAAAGAAGTGGACTAGCAAAGTATCTGAAAATGACTTACCTGCAAAGCTGATGATTAAATAGAAATATACTAAGGATAATGTAGTGAATATACTCATTATATGAGAATGGACTTTTAAAGTGTTGAGTAAGAAAACTAAGATGAGTTGTGGTTGTGCTTACAGCATGAAGTTATCACTGTAATTTTATAGTCTTTGGTATAAAGATTCATATAAATACAGATATAAACTGTATATGTCTCATTTTACCCCCTTTACTTGAAAAAGGCTGGTTCTCACAACAATGCAATAAAAATAAAAACTATGGCATATTTTCAAATACTAATCTTGACTATAAATATCAAAGTATCCTCAAGAAATATCTGATTTCAAGACAGGGACACTGGAATTATATTTATGAACTTGTACGATACAAACCTGAATTATTGCGGGACTCAAACAATGTAAGGGAAATTTACAAGTTAAGTACAAGAAAACCAGTCCAACTTGAAGCCATGCCATATTAGGGAATCATGCTTGACACTGCCTTAAGGCCAGGAACCAGAGTTAGAACAGAACTCAAGGCCAGGAACCAGAGTTAGAACAGAAACAGAAACCTAGGTTAGAAACAAATATAAATATAAATATAAATATAAATATATATATATATATATATATATATTCACCACCACCAAGAAAACCATGTCAGTCAATGAAATAACTCCTAATTATACTTGTCTATACACATAGAACAGAGCCAAGCATAATTGTCATCAGAGAGGCTTTATTCAGCAGCTGATGGCGGCAGGTAAAAAGACACATAGCTGAACATTAGGCAGAGCTAGGCAAATCCTGCCAGAGGGGGTATGGGAGAATTGCTAAGTAGACGGGATAAGGTACCACAAGAATTTGGCCCAAAGAATCAAAACAGAGAAAGGAAGGGGCTCAGAAAATCAAAGCTCACAGACTGTGAACCAACTATCAGGCAGCCTGTCTTGGTCCTCTGAATATACCGTATGGCTACATAGCTTGGTGAACTTGTAGGATTACTAATAGTGAAACGGAGCCTATCTCTGGCTTTTTAAAAATCTGTTTGGACGTTCTTTTCCGGGCTGCCTCCTCCAACCTTAATAGGAGGGGATGTGCATAGTCTTATTATAACTTGGCATACCACGTTTGGTTGATATCTCTGGGAGGCCTGCCCTTTTTCTGAAGGCAGAGGAGGTTTGGGGAGGGGGTGGGGAAGGAACTGGAAGACGATCAGGGAGGAGAAATGGGTGTTGGACTGTAATATATCAAAGAATATAAATAAAAAATAAGGGTGGTGTTAAATAATCATATGGAATGTATGCAGATGACCTCTGATTAACCAAGTTCATTAACAGCATATGTATGAAGCTTAATTACTCAATAAATTAAAATGATATATTGTCTCCCATGTTTTTTTCTGAAAAGGGCTGACTGGGCTTAAGGAAATGTCAAAAGCATTCACATAAGTAGACATAAGGAAAAGAAGGTACCTATCATCCAATGTTCAGAATAAAGATCATAATTTATAGAACAACATTTGATCATTTTTAATTTGATAGGAAGCCATGAGAAGAAAATGGTAACAATTTGTACATTTTCCCCATTCAGACAGCACATGAATCTTATAGTGAAGAACTATCAGAAAACTCATATTGAGGGACCTTCTACAAATTAAACTGACCTACAACCTTCAAAATGCCATTGTCCTGAAGATCATGGAAAGAGACAAGAATTACTTCCTTGACAAAAGAAACTAGATACATTGCAAAGAAAAACAATATGTAATATAAGCTGAATGTTTTTCCAGAGCTAATGAAAGAATACTTGTTTAATTGTACTAAAATCTCTCCTTCTCTTTCTCTCTCTCTCTCTCCCTCTCTCTTTTCCCTTTGTCTCTCTTGCACACACACACACATACACACACACACACACAGAGACAGAGAGACAGGGACAGAGAAAGACAGAGACATAGAGCCAGAAAGATGTATGTTCCTAGGAGTGATAGTAATACATAATGAGATAAAAAGATATTCATGAAGTTACAAGAG